AGGACAATGAAAGTTATAATTATATAAAGATAGTTATATATATATAAGATAGTTATACAAAAGCATAACTGTATTTTTTTATTCGAACCACTAAAAAAATTATAACTATTATAGGTTATTATAAAAAATATCATTTGACACGCTCGTTAAGCATGTTTACTTTTACTGAAATTTGTGTGTGTGTGTGTGTGTGTATCCATAGATTACAAGATTTTTCGAATTTATATTTTACGTACTCCATAAAATATTACATGTATGAAACATACATATAAAATTCATATTTAGAAAATAAAAAATGGTTCGTAAAATTATGTTCAAACAATTTTTTTAATAACAAATATTAATAAAAATTAATTAAAAATTATTGTTTAACAAATGCAAACAAATTTTAATTATCTATAGTTAAAAATAACTATTTTTAAATAATTTTAGTGAAAATTTCATTGCAATATCTCTAACAGTTCGAAAGTTATAACAGAATGTCACTGATCTTCTCGATTGCTACAACTGTGTGGCGCGGCTCTTAATGTGTAATACGAAAAACACTGAGCAATGAGAGATGAGTTCGGCTGGCGCAAGGCGGCCCAGCTAACGAGCAAAATTGGGCTTAGTCTGTTTATTGGCTCGGCCGCCTTGCGTCAGCCGAGCTTGCATTTGTGCCAAGAAAAAAGTTACTTTAAATGATCACAGGAACTCTTCATTTCTCGGAAGTAACATAATTTTGGGACACCCTGTATAGTATTATAGACTCTAAAGGTGTTTAATAAAAAGTTTGAGACTCGGTATTAGTAAAACCTACCGCCCAATTAAAAAACGTATATGTACTGCGAACGAACTCTGGTGCGGCGATAGGCTATTTATGCAGAGGGTAATGTTGGCTTCACACAGAGCTTGAAACTTGTACTATCAAATCAACGCACATGAAATTACTGTTCAGTATTAAATATTTGATTTTTTGGCGATTGATGCATAGCGTCATTGAGGGTCGTGTAAATTAACATATGGTGCATTGACCTGATCGCAAGACCGCAGGTCGTATGCTTTTCAGTGCTGTAGTATACCTGTAAACAGCTATGAATTTTGTCTCCCATTGTCTAAGGTTAATGGTATTCTTCATATGTTTACAAAAATAAATATACATTATTAGGATTCCGAATTATTTTTACCTAGTATGGAATAGTAGTTTTGCATATGCTGACCTTGATGTGAAGCCAATACTACGCTAATGTGAACATAGGCCACTGTGAACATAGTCACGTTACATAGTGGGCGAAACGGCCGATTTAGATAGACAAAAATGAAAAAACCGACTATTCAAACTGTTATAAAATGGTTGCTAATCGTTTATAGGGGTACCATATGACTCAGAAGCACTACAATTCTATCCCAAAATGTCTTTATTAAGGTAGTATCCTGCTGGTAAAATGCATATATAAGGTAAATCCAAACGCTCCTCCGTTCTTGCTTAATGACTTTTCATTAACAGTTCTTCGTATTCGAATCTGACAAATTTTACTTAATCCAATCATGAAATGTATATTTACTATTTTCCACCTACCTTTGTCAAAATACAAATTCCTAATGGGGGCAACAATATCCACTTGTCTGTTACAATACTTTCACTCGGTGTACTCGGTAAAAACTAAACTTTTGTTTACTTATTCCACCTTTGCCCACATTGTGCCTTAGGAAAAAAGTTAGATGTATCTATTAACTACTAATTTAATTTTCAGTGAGACCTTACAACTCCAATCGGAAGGTGTTATTTGACATTTTGCGTCAACAGAGCAGTAAAGAAAATAAGATGCCTGCTTTAATTGATTATATATTTTTTTTTTTACTCAAAGTTCCGAATATATTATCTACACTGAATAAATAATAAATTATTAATTAGTAAAAAAAATAAATCAAAATAAATGTTTACGACGTGAAGAGGTTTTTTCGCGTATAATTATCAATTTTATGACCTTTTTGACTAGCAATATATGTTTGTTTATCTAAATCGGCCGTTTCGACCACTGTGCGTCGCGCCGAAATTCGTCCGCCGTCCTTGCTTTCTTGATTGACCAGTGCTTTTTGTTAATAACTTGTTACCAATACAGCAATAAACATTTTTGATAAGGAAGAAAATATTTCAAGTCACATCAGGAATCGATTCGTTTCAAGTTCTACAGTTTTTCTGAAATACCTAGTATAATCGTTCTGCTATATTTCAGATTTTCGTAATTGGATAGTTCTGAGGTAGCAGTACTAACCTTTTAACGCAGGAATAGCCAATAAAGCCATATCAGGAAAACAGAAGTCCATCCATGTTCAAAGCGACTAACGGTTGGCTCTGGAATTTAAAAAATACGTATGATATATGTCTATTAAAAATGCATATCTATTTATCGGAGAAAGGAAGTATACATATATTGCTGGCCTTGAAGAAATTTCTGGAGAAATTTTACAAGAAAATGTAAGAGGAAGAACTAAAATACCACATATTTGCTGTTCCGTCCTGGACGGATCAACACCGAATAATCTGTCAGGTCACTTGAGGGCCTACGGGGTCTAAACTACGACCCCGAGAAAAGGTGCCTGACAGACCAATAAAATAAACCGAACCCTACGGGACAAGGTTCAAATATTTCGGATTTACAACGACGACCCGCTGTAACGACATTTTTTTACCGTTTGCTTTACCGGTTAAATAGTTTTATTGCTGTACTTTAGCCGGAGACCCAAGGTGGTCTCCAACTGCCTTCCGTCGACTTGCCCTTTTTTCAAGGCCCTAGAGCAACGTCTTCGGAAGTGGGGGCAGGTTGGGGGTGAAGCCAATCAGGCTCCAAAAATTGGCCGCACAAAATTGACTCCACCCCGAGCAAGTCAACCTGCAACCCAAAATTTGTCGAGACAGTCAGTCTTGTCGGTAACTCTCACGAGAGATGGTCAATCACTCTCACGCACAACTGTAAACCCCTGGACCTTCTTCAAATAAACTGTGTTGCCTTACGTTTTCAACCTAGTTTAACCTTTTTTATAAATCAACTTCACCGCCATTAAGTTGACGTTGGAGGCGCAGCATTTGGAGGAGCAACCTTCAGTCTG